CCCCCCCCCAACACACAGGGCACACCAGGAAGTACACATGCAAGTTCCTGAGCTTAGATCTGGTCTACCAGCAGAGGTGCATGGGCATACACCTCCAAAATGTCCACTGGACCAATCCATAGGTGGGTGCTCTCAGGACCACATCCACAAAGCACACACAAGCCACCCTAGTCCAAGTCCTCTTCATAAAGGAGCTGGACTGCAGACTCACACAGGGCCCTGCCAGGGGGTTGTGTGTACATGAAGGTAGATGCATTTACCCACTACTCTGGGGCTTTCCTGAACCTGGAAACAGGGAAGAATGAGGGGGAGGAGGGGAGCCCCAGCCCTCAAGGCCACACCCACATTGTGTGCATGTGTTCTCACTGTCCTGGCAACATCCTCTTTGGGGTGAGGCCTCAACCTGCCCCATTCCAGAGCAAGGGGCGGGGGTGGTGGCACGCCCACAGCCAGGCAGGCCTGACTCAGGGGAGAGGAATGAGGGGGGCGGGCACAGCTGCCCAGGTGGCCTTGCTCAGGAGCTGGAACCCTCCAGGCCTGACCTTGTCCCCCCTCCACTCACCCCCTCCACATTGACTGTGCCGCTGGCCAGCCCAGGAGCCAGGATTCAAGGGTGTTCAGAGGCTCTAAGTCTCAACCCCTAGCTGTACCAACAGTCAAACCAAGGCCCACAGGGCCAGGCCTTCCCATGGGAACAGAACCCAGAGCGTATGTAAAGTTTATTCTCTTAGAGGCAAGACAAAAGAAACGACATTAACAAAACCTTTCAGGCGGAGGCACTTCTACAATTCTCAAAACACTTTCTCTTCTACAGTTTTGTACAACGCCCAACAAGAAACCTGAAAAGTACCTGTGACATTCCTTTTTTACAAATGAGCAAGAGGAGGCACCAGGGAAAGTGACTTGCTGAAGGTCACCCAACCAGGAAGTGGCCCAGCCCACATTCGAATCTAGGTCTCCCTCCAAAGGCATTAGCAGTCCTAAGTCTGAAGGAGTTAAGAGGTCGGGGGCTGCAGCCTGGGTCCCTGCCCAAAGAGGGGGAGCTCTGCACTCTACCTCTGCAGAAGGGGAATCCCCCTCCTTCCTTCCCTCAGTGGGAAGCCCCACCCAGCAGGGGCAGAGCTGACAGGCCGGTTCTAAGGTAAATATTGGGGGGCAGGGAGTGCCCCAACAGGGAG